TTGACCTCTTTGCCACAAGGGAAAACGCCCGACTTCTGCAATACTTCACCAGGTATGCATCTCCGGGATCAGAGGGGGTGGACGCTGTGCGGTGCCTGTGGCCCCCGGGCCTTCTGTACACATTCCCTCTTCTGTTCTAATTCAGAGGGTGGTGCGGAAAATGCTAGACGAGGAGGCGGAAATCCTCCTTCTGGCATCACATTGGCCCCATTGGCCTTGGTTCGGGGACTTAATGATGCTCTCAGTATCACCTCCATGGCGCATGTCCCTCTCACAAGGCTCGATTCAGCATCCAGACCCGCATTGGTTACAACTAACCGTGTGGCGGTCAAGCGCGAGGCATTGAGAGCAGATGGACTGTCAGACAGTGTCATACAAACCATAAAAGCCTCACACCATCCTTCTACGACTCGAATATACAATGCAACCTGGACAGTGTTTACCAGGTGGTGTTCCTCTTCTGACATTTTTCCCTTGTCTGCCTCTCTGGCTAATGTGATAGACTTTCTCCAACAGGGCCTTACCAAAGGTCTTTTGCCGAAACACATTAAGGCGTCAAGTGGTGGCCCTTTCTACAGTCTTGACTCTGCCAACAAGTGAGCCCATCTCGCACCTGTCGCATATTTGTCGATTCCTCCGTGGGGCAACCAACATTCGTCCTCCAATGATTCAAAGGTACCCATCCTGGGACTTAACTAAGGTGTTAGATTTTCTGACCAGGGCTCCGTTCAAATTGTTGCAGACCGCATCTCTACACCTCACGCTCAACGTCTGTTTCCTGTTCGCAGTGACTTCAGCAAGACGGATTTCTGAAATTGCAGCTCTGTCGATTAGAAGCGACCTCTGTATATTTCATGGAGATAGGGTCATTCTCTGTCTAGATCCAGCATTTACGCCCAAAGTGAACTCATCCTTTCATAAGCTTCAGGAACTAATACTACCTAATTTTTGTCCCCATCCTTCTCTTGGGTAGAAAACAAGTAGCATACCCTAGACATTCGCAGGGCTATACGTATCTACATCAAACTTTCTGCTACATTCAGGCGTTCTGAAGCCTTAATAGTCTCTTTTCAGCCAGCTTCCCTTGGCTCTAAAGTCTCCTCTTCCACCATAGGTCGCTGTCTTAGAGTCTGTATATTTAAGGCATACAGGACAAACTATTTCATTCCTCCACAGGGTATAACGGCCCATTCCACTCGTAGTGCGGCCACGTCAGCAGCCTGGGCTACTCAGGTGTCAGTGGAGGAAATTTGTAGGGAGGCCACTTGGACTTCACCTATTCCCTTTATCCGTCATTACAAGATAGACCGTTTTGCTTCGGCTGAAGCTGCCTTTGGAAGGAGAGTTTTACAACAAGTCCATTCTTTGGACTTTGCTTCCAAGGGGACCGGATCCCTCCCTTAATTAAGGACTGGCTTGGGTATGTCCCAACGTGACTGCTGTCTCCACCTGCAGTGAGAATGAGCGTATCAGGTAGGGACCAATACCCATTCT